TGGGTACCCAGGCAGAGCTTCTCTGCCCCTGATCCATTGCCACTTTCCTGCAACCCACTCGGCCTAGGCCCTTCCTCTTAGTATCTGAGTGGGCACAGAAAAGCACACCAAGAATGTTTTAGCAAACATTGCCACTGGCTGCAGACCAATCTTTGGATCTGTGGTATTGAGAGTCTGTGAGTAATTGTGGTATGGGGGTGGGAGTAGCTTTCTAATGGTCAGCATGCTTGAGCAAGTGACCGTGTCTCTCCCCTCACATAGAAATTCTGATTCATTGAGAGTCTTTTCTTCGAGTTGATGTGTCTAGCTTCATTGTTGCTTTACTTTTTGGTGGAGAAGTCAGGTGTAGGTAGTCACCAAAATACCTTGGTCTAGGAAAATGTCTGCTGGGGTACACACGTGGGCCAGACATCCAGGGAAGCAGGCGATTGGACAGAATAAATCTCCTAGAGACCGTTAGGAATTGAACAAGGTTATCTTTCTCCTACTGCAGTCAGGGGAAGGCCACTCTTGCCTGCCTTAATCACAGTCAGGATTTTCCTGGGGGTTGTACTAGACCCACTTGTTGTCCTGAAACCCCCTACAAGGGTATTTGCAAGCACAGTGTGAGGCATGAAAAGGGAAATGAAGCCTTTTCCTTTAGCTTTTGGTTGGGGGTTGCCTAGCTCTCACGTCCCTCACTAATCATACATCATCTTCCTAACGTCTCCCTACCTTCTGTTAGATTGGGTGCAGATCCCTCCATGGCATACACAACACAGTTCAAGCTCCCGTGGCCTAAGGAAAAGATGAAGCCTAGGTATGTTAGCCAGCACGCAACCCTCCTCTCTGGCCGTGGTTTCGCACACCTCTGCTGTCTGGTTCTGGCTTCAGCCATTATGAAATTAATTTTTTTTTGTTTTTATTTTTTTGCCAGAGATGTATGCTCCCCAAAGAAAGACACAGAGAGGGAACATGAGAAAGTACCCACCCCCATGGGGAATGGTCACACCACAATCACTTCTCCATCTACCCCCCTTTTTTTTTTGGCATTTCGGACACCCAGTGTACATGTACCCAGCGTTATTTTCTAGCGGTCATGTCCAGGACTCAAACCGCGTAGTCAGCCATGTGGGATTCAGCTGTCTTCACCACCATGCCACCAGCTGGTCCCAGCTATTATGAATTTCTTGTACCTCAAATGTTCTTTTTTTCTCATAGCCTTGTGAATGCTCTGGTGAGAGTACATTTCTTTCTCTGCGCTAGAATGGTCTTCTCTCCCACCACCACCCCCAGAGTCTGCCTGGTCTGATTCTGCCTGCTCTCGCTGGTCCCTCTCTTTTTTTTTTTCTTCTTTTGGCCAGAGGGCACATGTGCTTGGCCAGAGAGAGACAGAGAGGGCAGAAGAGAAAATACCCCCATGAGGAATGTTCACACCACAATTCCTTCTTCCTCCCAGGATTTTGGGCACACATTCACATGTGCCCTGTGTGTTTCTCAAACTGCTGAGTCCAGGACTGTAGCCACACTGTTGGCTATGAGGGATCCAGCTCCCTTAACCGTCAGGCCACGGAGCAGGCTGAGGACTTCATGCAGTTTTTGAATTTCATTTTGCTTTTTACATTTTGCTATAGGGAGCGTATACTCACCCGGGAATGTGAGTGGAATGAGGAATCACCTCCAGGGAGGATGTGCACACTGCAGTCCCTTTTCTCCACTTTCCTTTCAGGATTTCGGGCATGCATGCACCATGCACCTGATGTGATTCTCAAGCCACCTGATCCAGACTCAAACCTCGTAGTCAGCCATTTGGGATCCAGCCACTATGTCACTAGCTAGCTGCCTATTTTAGGGTTTTATGTATTTTTTGGCTTTCTTCCCCTTTCTGTCCTCCCTGTAACAGCAGCCATTTTCTCTAGAAGAGAGAACTGTAATAACTCCTGCCTACCAATGTAAGAAGCAGCTCACATTAAAAACCTGGGCCTTTAAAAGGGATCCCTGCTCCAGCCGTACTGGCTCCTCTTCCCAGAGTGTGACTTCCCATGCATTTCACAGGTCTCTAAAGGTCTCTCTGGCTTTCTTCTGCTATTAGAGATTAATCGTGTGAGCCACAGGTCAATTCACTTGAGCCTTAATCCTTTTTAGTTATTCCCTCTCCATCAGAGAAGCAGAGCTTGGGAATATTCTTGAAGCTGATTGGGAAGGACACAGCAAACACTGGAAAAGGCAGAGTCTCTGGGTTGGATCCCCGGGAGGCATGTTGAAAGGGCTGACTGTTCCGGGTGGGTGGGAAAAGCCATTCTTGTAAGAATGATGGTAGCTGACATTTGTTGCCAGGCAGGGTGCTAAGGTCTTTTCACACACTGTCTCACTTAATCCAACGTACTCGTTACCATCCCCATGATCCAGAAGAAGCTGTAGCCTAGAGGTGCGATTTGCCGAGCCACAGAGTTAATAAGTGTAGAAGCTGGCACTCCTGGGATGAATGTGCATGTGTCTGTCAAAGTTGTGTATTTGGCCTGGCCCGACGGGAGGTGCTTAGTAAATATTTACTTGAGTGAATGAAATAGCAGGATAAATGTACTCAGTGAGAATGGGCAGGAAAGAGGCCTGGGTGACTTCACTCTCTCTGGAAAGGAATGAGCACCTCCTGTTAGTTGTGGTAGAAAGGGAAATGTCAGTGGACTTGCTGGGGCCTGCCTTTCTTATCATGAAAGGTGAGTACCCAAGGTATTACAACACTTTGCCCAAGAGGCCCATGTAATCCCAGGGCCGAAAGAGAAAGACACACTTTCCTCATCTACCATTCTGCTGGTCTGGTGTACCTAGGGGCCCCGGTACGTGGTAACTCCTCTAGCATGTACCTTGCTCTTCTTCCTGGGTCTCACAGATGAGGCCAGGCTGGGAGGAAGGAGGGGAGGACCGATGTATAGTTCAGGTTTTATGAGAAAACTGCTCAGTCAGTCATAAGTGTGGGCCAGACACTGGGCACCTTATTGAGTTGAAAGAATGGTTGCATCACCTGCAGGGAAAGCCAAAGAAGCTGGTTCTTTGGCTTCCCCAGGTTGCCATCACTCTCCAGGATGTGCCCACTTCTGCCTCCACATTTGCAGTTTCCAGGAGAGGAGAATTGCTTAGTTCAGTCAGGCACCTGCTCAAATCGAGCAGTGTGACCAGCAAGATGGCTCCTGTTGGTATAGACATGAGCCCCTGCTTGTTATGGGGAGTGTGCCAAGAGAAGGAAGCATTGTCACGGCCGGGCGGCCACTCTCTAGGGATTGGTCTACCAGACAGGTAGAAAAAGGCTTTGTTGGGATACCTTCCCTTTCACTTGCTGGAAAAGTGTTCAGTGAGGCTTTTTGTGTGAAATTGTAAGTCTGGTTTGGGGGCCAGGCTTGTTACAAGATTGTCAGAGTGACAGTCATATAAAAACATTTGTCCCATGTTTGGAATAGGATCGTCCCCAATGAATATTATCACTATGCTATTACAAAATAATAACGTTTGTAACCACTTCATAGTTTTCATGTGCAGTTACGGAACTTTGGACTTCTTTTTGTCCCATGATTTACACGGAATTAGCTGAACGCAAAATTCTAAGTCGACTCGTAATTGGCATGGCAGCCAAAGAACACGGTGTGTCTTTGGGCACAGACTTCCCCTTCCACCACCCATGGGCTAAAGAAAAGAGCTCTTGTATGTAATGTGTTTCCTTAACTCCTGCGTTATTCTCTTAGTTGCCTGTTCTGGCTTCCTGGTTTGTGTCTCTTCTTTCTCTAAGTCGTTTGTTTCCCTGAGTCGCCATCTGAGGCCAGGTGGCCCTGCCTCTGTGTACCCGTAGGCGGCGCTGCGCAGTGCCAGTTTCCAGGTCCTCCTTTAGGGGCATGGTGAGAGGGCTATGCACTCTCCACTTTAGAAGTTGTATACTGATCGCAGGCCTCATGGATGCTTCTTCCCTAAAGGAGAGGCCCCCAATCTTGTGATCCCAAGAAAGAACACAATTCCAAAGTGTTGGTTGAGCCTTAGCTTCTTCATGGTGTTGTGAGGACTTGAGTCAGATGAGAGTATGTGTGCAAAGGGCTTTGTGAGCTGCTGAGTATGAGGGTGACCCCGTCAGTGCAAGAGGTGTATAGTTGGTAAGAGTTGGAGGCCTCCCATGGGCCCTGGGGAGACTTCAATGCTATAGTTGGAGCATTCCAGAAGGGATTGCCATCTGCCGATGTGTGTTGAATCCTATCCATCTGTCCATCCATCCATTCATTCATTCAGCCAACTAGCCAGTGACTTTTATTGAGCTCTTATTGTATGACAGGCAGTGTTTAAGACACTGAAAAACGAAACCTCCCAGTCTTCATTGACCTTGAATGCCAGTGGGGGGAGACAAAATAAATAAAATAAGTAAATAAAATATGAAGTACCTTTGCAGCAGCAGGCTTCGTGCTTCAGGACCCAAGAGTTGGCACCCTGAAGCAGGTACCCTCTTCTCTCTCATGCACCTGTGTCTGTCGCACCGCTTCCCACCCTACACCCTGAGAAGTGGGAGGGCTGAGATTGAGATGGGGTAACTGTATTTCTCTAGTGACTGCTTTAGTGTCTGACAGACACAGGAAAGGCACACAATGTGGTAATCAAGCCACACAGCCACCTAAGAAAGGTAGAAGTGAAAAGTCCAATAAGCACCTGACTCATGTCACCGATTTCCTGGTTATCTTTCCTGGAGTTAGTCTGATTACAGTATACAAATAAAGTGTAAATTGTAGTTTGCAATCCTTTGCCTATAGTGAACTCCCCACCGTGTACAGCATTCTCACATGTGCAAGTCCTGCAGGATGAATTCCTAGCACTGGGATTGCTGATGTGGAGGGTATGCCACTCAGCATTGGTTTGTAAAGTCAGGGAAAAACATGAGGCCCAAGAGTGGACTAATGGCGACATGCAGTGGAGAAGTCACCAGACTCCGAATGTTCTCCCCAAAGGCCTTAATAAGGCAACTGATACCACTTTCTTTGTTTATTCATCAGGCCGGAGAGACTATGTTCAATCGTGCTAAGCTCCTCAACGTTGGCTTCCGAGAAGCCCTGAAAGACTATGACTACAACTGCTTTGTGTTTAGCGACGTGGACCTCATTCCAATGGATGACCGTAACACTTACAGGTGTTTTTCACAGCCACGGCATATTTCTGTCGCAATGGATAAGTTTGGATTCAGGTAAGAGATGCTCAGCCAAAGTCTGCAGTAAACATATGTTTTTTTGTTTGTTTGTTTGCTTTTTCAGTGAGAGATTTTTGCTATAGAGCGCATGCACTCACCAAAGAGACAGAGAGAGACAAAGAGACTGCAAGAAATCACCCCCAAGGGAGGAGGATGGCCATGCCACAATCTCTTCTCCTCTACTCGCCTCTCAGGGTTTTGGACACGCATGCACACATGCCCAGTGTGTTTTAAGCCGCTAGGTCGGGGACTCAAACTGGTCAACTATGTGGGAGTCCAGCAACTTAACCATTACGCCATCTGCTGGTCCCAACGTATTTTTTCTTATATGTTGATTAGTAGAGACCGTTTGTCCATATCAGGAGGACTTCTTTGGGCTCTGGTGGAGAATGCTTCCTTTGAGAAATGAGTGATTGAAATTTGTATTTGAAATTATAAGTCCGGTTTAGGACAAGGGTTGTTACAAGATTGTCAAAGTCACATTTATGTAAAAACACTTGTCCCATGCCTGAATAGGATATTCTCCAGTGAATATAAGCAATATACTATTAGGATAATAATAACAGTTGTAACAGCTTCAAAGTCAGTAATTATTTGAGGAGGTAAGAGGAGTCCTGAAATGCTTGTGATCTCTGCAAACCAAGGACACATGGTATTTCATGTCTGGGAGGGCTCCTAGCTGAAGGCACCATACCAATGCTGTATTTTCTCTCTCTTCTCCCCTGCTCCACACACTTTGGCAAGCAAATTGGAATAGTTTTGCCCTTGCCGAATTCTTAAGCTTGGATACCTTGGCAGATGTTCCCTGTTACTTTAAGAAGAAATGTAATTCTCTTTCCCAGCAGAGCATAGGCTTCTGCTTAACATGGAACTCAAAGTTTTCCACCAAAGTGTCCCTAGTGAAAATGCCAGCTGATATCTAGCCCTGAGGATGAGAGTTCAATCCATAGCATTTGGTCATAGGTGGAAAATGGCCTTGTAATCCATTGTTTTATCTTTAGAATGAAGTTAGTAGATGCAGCCGCAGTGGTGCAGCAGTAGCACAGCCCTCTGCGATGCTTGGAGGCCAGAGGGAAGATGGGTTTGGTTTCCCTGTTGACCTACACATGCCAGGTACACATGTGCCCATGAGCCTGGCTAGCTGGGAAAGGCTGAGCAAGGAGAGGGGTTTGCCACTTGTCTTTTTTTCTCTCTTTGTCATCTCTAGCTTCTGAAAGAAATATACCTTTAAAAATAAATAAGTAAATAAATTTCCATGTTGTTCTACAATTTGTATTTATATTCACATAAACTTGTTTTAAGTTACTTATCAACTGAATAGATTGACTTTTTCCTTCCTTGAAGTAAACACAAAGGTCCAGGAAGTTGTACTTGCAGGTACTCTGGGTTTTTGTTTTGTTTTTTTTTTTTGAGAGGTTTTTGCTATAGGGTGCGTGCACTCACCAGAAAGACAGAGAGATAGAAAGCGAGAAATTACCCCAGGGAGGATGGCCACGCTGCAATCTCTTCTCCTCTGTTCTCCTCTCGGAGATCTTGGGCATGCACACACGTGCGCCCAGCGTGAGTTTAAGCCACCAGGTCTGGGACTCGAACTTCCATCAGCTACATGGGAGTTCAGTGACATAGCCATTATGCTAATGGCTGGCCCCCAAGGTACTCTTGTTTGTTAGGTACCCTTACGTCAGACTGAGTTCCACAGTGTGGTTGGCTTGTGCAGACAGCAGGCCCTTTGTTTCAAGGCGACTGCTTTCTGTCAGACTTATTTTATCTTAAGATTTCTTTCTATCCTCCCTTGATAGAGGCATGAGAGCTATTAGGTGAACATAAGAAATATAGGAATGTATGAAGTCCTCCCTCCGATCAAAGTCCTCCCTTCAGATCTAATTGCAAATAGATAGGGGCTCCAGGGAGCTTTGCTTGTAGGTTCTTATAAGTCAGAATTCCTGAATGTGTTTGAAATTAAAATTGCATCTTTATTTTCACATGTTTTATATGATTTGACTGACTTTCCCCTCAGAGTCTGGGCTAGAATTCTCCTTAATTTATAGGATGGGTTTTGGTCTGTTTGGATTCCAGTAAGAGCCTGAGTGTGGTTTGCAGCTGCACTTAAAGTTGACACAAACCATAGCCATTAGAGGGTCCCTAAGAAGGCCTTTGCATGACTTCTGGGGCATGTGCTGATTCTTGACATTTCTCGTTAGTGTTACTCTATATCCCTCAGGAGTCCACATTCATAGCCACCGAAATATTGAAATACAAAAAGATTTGGGAAGATGAGAGCCCAAGTACCCTACTACTTGGAAATATGTGAAAATAAATTCACCATTATATATTTTGCTAAGTCAGGATAAAGCAGAAGTTTCAAAGAGAATTTTGTTTTATTAATAGTAAATTTCCAGAAATATTGCCTTGGCTTTGAGGTCAATGTTCAACCCAAGATGCCTTTGGAAGAATGAAAGCTAGATGAGGGGTAGGAACAGAGGGCATGATAGAGTGGGCACAGGGGGACCCTTAAACAATCTTAGGTTCTGGAACATTCTGGACAAGGACTTTGCAGCAGCAGGGCACGTGGAAAGCAGGGAGAGATTCTATTTTTTTATAATCTGTGTCTTCTCTAAGATAATCTGAGCCCTGATATAAAAGAAAATCTTTATAGGGGCCAGCTCAGCCGGGTGTGTGTGTGCGCGCGTGTGTGCATGTGCGCACGCATGTGCGTGCATGCCCAAGACTGTGGGAGGAGAAGGGTTGCAACGTGGCCAGCCCCCTGAGGGATGATTTCTCACTTTCCGTCTCACTGTCTCTGTCTGTCTCTCTCTCTGATGAGCATGTGCACCCTAAGCACACACATCCTAAGGCAAAAACCTCTTAAAAAAAAAAAAAAGAAGAAGAAGAAAAACCTTTATAAAGCCTGTATCAAAAAGTTCCAGAGAATAAATAACTTTAAAAGTGTTTATCTTCAGCAAGTTTTATGTTGGTGATGCCAAAACTTACTAACCACAGATCTTCTGTGTATGTTTTTTTTTTTCCCCAGCCTACCTTACGTCCAGTATTTTGGAGGTGTCTCTGCTCTAAGTAAACAACAGTTTCTCAAAATCAATGGATTTCCTAATAATTATTGGGGCTGGGGAGGAGAAGATGATGACATTTTTAACAGGTAATGGTTACAACTTAGATCTCTCTCTTTACTGTCAACCTTCACTTCCAGTTTTTGAATTAGCACTTAGCCCTCAGGAAGGATATAGTCTTCATTTGGCCCATTTTCTTGGGTGTGTCCTCTTTTAGGTCTAGTAGGTGCTAAAGAAGGTCTTTAGGAAAATAAGTTTCTAAGATTTTTGGACTAGATTTGGAAAGTATAACATAGGAACCAAGTGAAGAAATAAGTTTACTTTGATTTGCCACATGACATTTCCTACTGAAAGAGCAATCTATATTCTTTGTAAAAATTCAGTATCTTGGGCCAGCAGTTGTTGTAGTGGTTACGGTGCTAGACTTTCACATGGCTGACCACAGTTCGAGTCCTGGACTTGGCAGCTTGAAAATCACATCTGGCATATGTGTGTGTGTGCCCAAAATCCCTAGAATGGAGGAGCAGAAGGGATTGCTGTGTGGCCATTCTCCCAGAGGGGGGATGATTTCTCACTTTCCCTCTTTGCCTCTCTGTCTTTGGCAAGTGTATGCACCCTTTGGCAAAAAACTTAAAAACAAAAAAAAAATTCATGATCTTATCATGGCTCTCATTTTGAAATGAATCTTTCTAGTCAGAATTCTAACTTTCTGTTGGGTCGTTGGAAAAGTCATGATGTGTTTTTCTATGCAAAAACGTGTCATGACTTTTTCGATGACCCAATAACTGAAATCTTTGTGCTACCTTTATTTTGGAGTATTTTACATACACAAAAAAGGATAGAGTGGTATAATAAACCTTTGGGAGCTCTCCTGGCCCAAACAACCATCATGCCATGGTCAATGCTGCCCCATCCACAACTCCAAGGATTTTCTTTTTTTGCTAGAGGGCACATATGCTCACCAGAGAGAGAAAGCGCCTCCCCACACGTGCACACACAGTGGTGTGGTCATGCCATTTTCTTTGATTTCTCCCTCCCCTCAGGATTATGGGTATGTATGCACACATGCCTCAGTTGTTTTTCAAGCCACCAAAGTGTGATATGGTTGGCCATAGGAGATTCAAATGTGTGGTGCTTAACCACTGAGCTATGGGCTGGCACTTTTTATTTCGTGTTTTTTTTTTTTAAGAATTATTTTATTTAATTTTATTTATTTTAATTTGACCAGAGTGAGAGAGAAAGAGAGAGAGAGGGATAGTGAGAAAGAAAGCCACCAGATCTGGGACTCAAGCCATGGTCGGCCATGTGGGAATCCAGCACCCTTAACCACCATACTACCTGCCAGCCCCTTATTTCGTTACAATTTTTTTAAATGCCTATCCATGTTTTTCTGTTTATTTTTTGCTTTGCTATAGGATATGTACACTCATGAGAGAGAGAGGTAGGGAAAATAAGAAAATACTCCCTAAGGAGGATCACCACACCACAATCCCTTTTCCATTCTCTTCTTGGGATTGCGGGCACACATGCTCACATGCCTAGTGTGTTTCTCAAGCCCAGTGGATCTGGGACTCAAACCTTGCAGCTGGCCATGTGGGGTCCAGCCGCCTTCACCACCACACCACCAGCTGGTCCCCCCCACTCCATTTTTATAAATGGCATCTTTTTCTCTTTCATTGCCAGAGGAGGGCTCATATCACCAGAGAGAGAGAGAGAGAGAGAGAGAATCCTCCAGTGACACGTGAGATCATGCAGCAATCCTTTTTTCTCCATTCCCCATCTTGCCAAGATTTGGGGCACGTATATACACGTGCATGTTTTTCAGGTCACAGTGTCTGGGATTCAAATCGTGGTCAACCATATGGGATCTGGCATCTTAAGCACAAAGCTTAATGAGTGCGTTGGGCCAAGGAGGAACTTCTCCAAAAGATAAAGGACCTTGCTCTTAGGCACTTAATGCCAGGCACTAGAATCAACACTGGGGCGAGACAAGGTCAGAAACCTTTAAGCTGTCCAGGATTAGCCAACCCTATCTCCTAACTAACTTTGATA